CAGTAACAACTGTGTTCCGAATCCCAATCCACAAAGTCCTGGATCAAATTCAGGACCAGCCCTATTTCAGAACGCCGGAGGGGACTCCAGGAGAGTTCATGGGAAGAAACGTTGGCAGGCATTGTGCCTACCACAATGAAGATGGGCATACAACTCAGGGTTATAGAGCCCTGAAAACACACTTGGAAGACCTGGTGAGACAAGGACATCTGAGAGACCTTGTCGATGAGACCAGAACAAGGGAAGAACGGGCTAGGTTGCCTCAGGCACTAGCAGCCCCACCTCCCCTAGCACAGTAGCCGCAGACAGGAGGACCTCGGGTAATCAACGTAATCCACTCGAAGGTCAATGAAAACAAAAATCCGAGGAGAGACCCAGAAGGTAAAACACCTACAATATGTCTACCAAGTCGGGGAGAAAAGATATCGAGCAGAAGAGTGCCAGGGACCAATGATAACCTTTACTAAAGCCTACCTAGAGATAGTCCAGGATCCGCATAATGATGCCTTGGTAGTATCCCTCCAGGTTAGGGAGTGCCAAGTGAAACGCATCCTGATTGACCAAGGCAGCTCTTGTGACATCATGTACGTCTGATGTTACAAGGAGCTTGGCCTTCACCCAGATGATATGGAACAATCCAATGGCCCAATGGTTGGGTTCAATGGAACGCCGACATGGCCACTGGGAATAGTAAGTTTTGAGGTACAGCTGGCACCAGGAAGATCAAGACAGAATTCACCATCATCGACACACCCTCCCCTTACAACATCATCTTGGGAAGGCCTTGGTTGCATGCAATGGGGGCAGTCCCCTCAACATTGCATCAACTATTGCGATTCTCAACAGAGCATGGGATAGAGAAAGTCAGAGGCGATCAGCTACTGGCGAAGAATTGCTTCATGGCAACAATGAAATCTACCTACAGCATACGAGAGCCAGAAAAGGCAGAAATTGAAGATGAGGACGTGGAAGTCCTAGAAGACGTCGGCAAGGAGCCAGCCGAGAAGAGCGAAGAGGCACTGAAGAAAATCCTCGTCCAGGATGGGGATGAAGAACGCTTCTTTCTTCTCAGCTTGGGCTTAGCCAAAGAAGAGGAAAAAGAGTTGGAAACTTTTTTGAGAGCAAATATTGAGGTGTTTGCTTGGACACCTTACGAAATGCCTGGCATTGACCCCGAGGTCACTTGCCACAAACTGAATGTTAACAGGTCGGCCAAACCTGTAATTCAACGAGCCAGAAGACCGACGTTGATGCACGTCGAAGCAGTAAAAGAAGAAGTAGACAGACTTCTGGAGGCTAGGACCATTAGAGAAGTTCACTACCCGACATGGCTATCCAATACAGTGGTGGTAAAGAAGAAGAACGGTAAATGGAGGGTCTGCGTAGACTTTACCAGCCTCAACAAAGCCTGTCCCAAAGACAGCTTTCCTCTACCCAAGATTGACCAGCTAGTAGATACCACTTCAGGGCATAGAAGAATGAGCTTCCTAGACGCCTACAGGGGGTACCACCAGATAGCCATGTACTCCCCAGACGAGGAGAAGACCGCGTTCATCACCCCAAAAGGCCTGTACTGTTACAGAGTAATGCCTTTCAGGTTGAAAAACGCAGGAGCAACTTACCAAAGGCTGGTAACCAAAATGTTCAAACACCTGATTGGCCGAACAGTAGAAGTCTACATCGACGACATGGTTGTTAAGACCAAGGAGCCTGAGGGTCATCTCGCCGATCTAAAAGCAGTCTTCGAAATCCTTAAAACATATCGGCTCTGACTCAATGCATCGAAGTGTGCATTTAGAGTTGGATCTGGTAAGTTTTTAGGATACCTGGTGACCAGAAAGGGCATTGAGGCCAGCCCAGATCAGATCAAAACCATCCTAGAGTTGAAGAGCCCGACGTCGGCAAAACAGGTGCAGATGCTAACTAGAAGGGCCGCAGCTCGGAACAGGTTCATCAGCAGAAGCTCAGATAAGTGCAGACCTTTCTTCAACTTGGTAAAGAAAGCCACAGACTTCCTGTGGACCGAAGAATGCGAAGCCTCTTTGGCCGACCTGAAGAAGTACTTGACCACAGCTCCAGTTCTTTCAAATCTAGAACCTGGGGAGGAGCTGTTCCTGTACTTAGCCGTTTCAGAACATGCGATAAGTGCAGTACTAATCCGAGAAGAAAAAGGGGAGCAAAGGGTTGTTTACTATGTAAGCAAAACCCTAGCCGATGCAGAAACGAGATATCTACCCTTAGAGAAATTGGCACTAGCTTTAGTAATGGCTTCAAAGAAGTTGAACCATTACTTCCAGGCCTATAAAATTGTGGTATTAACAGAGCACCCCTTGAAGTCCTTACTGGAACAAGGAGACCTGATAGGAAGAATAGCTAGGTGGGCAGTCACCCTAGGCCAGTATGACCTGGAGTACAGGCAAAGGACGGCAATCAAAGGTCAGGTTCTGGCTGACTTCATGGCTGAGTTCACACCAGAATCCATCGAACATCGGGCTCCGTTGAGCCAGGATGAACGATGTCCAACCAAGCAAGGAAAAGCTCAGTCAAAGGTGAAAGAACAAAGAAAAGAGGAACAACTCAGACCCTGCAGCATTTACATCGGTGACTCCTTTCGACTGTTTGTTGATGGGAGTTCAAACCGATAGGGAGCGGGGGCACTCCGACGATCAAGTCAGTATATCTCCCAAAGATAATCAAATGCTAAACTCACAAGCTTGAGTATAAAATTGCGTACCTTAGACCCATGGGGGTGCCTCTCTTTTATAGTTTACTCAATCCTAGTCCCATTAGAAGCCTGACTTCTATGGACTCCAATTCAATACTGACTTTGGATTCTTCAAAAGATAAAGATAAACTCCCTAAAAGCTTTATCCTTATCTTGGCTAAGTCTCCTCGTTGTCCTAGGACTCTTGTCCCTTCTCTGCTTATCTCGAATTCCGATATCTTCGGAGATAACCTCGGTAACTCCGAGATCACCTCGGCGTAACTACCACGATACGTGGCACTTCGGCTACACGTCGGCGTCGCCATGCCACGTGTTGGTATCCAAAAAATATATCCCACAACTGCCCCCTAGGTTCTATTACCTCGGCAATCTGAGGTGATGGAACCTATATCAATATTTCTTTCTGCATAGTGGCTAAAAAACTGTTTGGCCGAGATAATTCATTTTCAAGCCGATGTGTTCTCTTCGGAGAACAAGAATTCAAATGAACTCCACCACGCGCATAAGCTGCCATGCACATCTAACTGTTCCTTTCACGTGCTTTGTCTTCATTGGCCCGTGTTTGTGATGCGCCTGAAAGCTGCCTTTCACTCGTCTGCGCCGTCTGACGTGTGTGTTGCTCCAGGCGTAATAAATGCCCTGCTTTTGCCGCCGTTTCAAGTTTTTTTGATAAAACTTTTCTTTCCCTCTTCCTTTCTCCACTTTTTGCATTCTGATTTCTTGTTTTTTCTCTCTCTAAAAGCTCTAGCATTCTTCGAATCTGCCATTGCTCTAAGCCCCAAATTCTGCGACCGTTTTTATTCTTCCATTCCTGTGAAGCTTTTGCCACTGTTACAACTGTCGTCTGATCTCGGCGAATATCGCTCCGGCTTCATTTTATCCGGTAAGCAACTGGCCCCCTTACCCTCTTTTTCTAATTCTTGATTGTTTCTGAAGTTTCTTGCTATTACTGTACTTCTTAGGCATTATTTGTGAATCATTCACCTGAATGCGTCTTATTTCATGATTTTTCACATGCCATGAACACTTTGCACTGTTTCACTACTGTTCTTGGCCCTTAACCCTTTGTTTTCTTCGTGTTCTTGATAGCCCATCCCTGTTCTTGTTTCTGAAACTTCGCTTTTGTTCTCTGTTTTTTGTGGCTTTACCAGATCTGTGCCCTCGATCTTCGTCTTTATAGTTTTAGGTTTGGGATTTGTCTGTAGATCCTTCAATCTTTAGGAAAAACTGAAACAAACCTTACCAGTCCTTACCAAGGTTTGAAACCGAGATTCTAGCAACCCTTTTGAAACACCTATCTTTTGAAACACAGCCTTCTTTGTTTAGGCCGACGTAATGGGTATGTGGAGACACCGGGTAAACACCCCAACTAAACTTGAATTTTTTAGGCAAGAATTTTCCATTCCTGCCGATGTCCACCTGAGGCTGGCTGAAGATAATGACTCTATCATGCCCACGGATAATTCAATGCCCTTTCCTATAGCAGCTTTTACTGAGTGCGGACTCCGGCTTCCACTCAATCCCCTTTTTCGTGAGGTTCTCCACTTCTATAAGTTGAACCCCATGCAACTTACCATCAACTCCTATCGAGTGATTAATGGTATCATAGCCCTAACTAAGCAGGAAAATGTTAGGATCACCCTTGCCGATGTACAATATTGTTATACCATGTGCCCCCTTAACCTGAAGGAAAGAGGTTACGTCTACTACCTCAAGCCGAGGTCTACTGAATTCAAAATTGTAGCCGACCTCCCGGACTCCAACAAGGGAGCCGAGGATGACTTTGTCATTGCTTCGGGAAATTGGGAATTTGGTCCAGACGAAAATGTTCACCTCTACCCTCTTCCTTGAACAGTTAAAGAGGTCAAGGGTAAGAGCCCAGCATCAATACTTAGTTATTTCTAAGTCTTTAAAACTTTGTCTGCTTCTAATGTTTGTTTGTTCTGCAGATCTTCATCAGCCACCAAAAAACTTTCGCCAATCGGACTTCCCAGGAAAAGATTTAAAGAAGCTCCTTGATCTTCCAATCCACAAGCGCAAGGCTCCCCTGTTACTGAATTTTATTCCGACATACAAATCCACACTACCCGACGTCCCAAAAAGGAAGAAAAAGAGTCTTTCTCCACATTCTGCCACAACTCCTCCCATTGCTTCCACATCACGAGCAGACGAAGGATCCACTTCTGACCCAGTCGATCTGCCATCTACTTCAGCCCCATACTTAGTCCCAATACCAGAAAGAAAACGTCGGCGTCGACTTGTCAAGACTGCTGAGATGGGTCGCCCGAAGCCTATTGCAGTAGATCTTTTAGCCAACTTACCTGCCGATGTTGATGCTGTTCCAGCTCAATCCATGCCCCCACCAAAGCCCAAAAGAATCAAAAAGGCTCAACCCAAGGCCAAAGCCGCTGAGGTTGAGGCTGAGGATGCTCTGCCCATCTCTCAATTGGCCGAGAATAGAAAGAGTACCTCTACTTCTACCAAGAGGTCTGCTGAGGCCCAACCGTCAGGATCCACTCAATCAAAGAAGCCGAGGTCATCGTCTACGACGACCTCGGGTTCCAAGAAAGCCGATGTCCCCTGGGCCCCAAAGTTGACTTTGGAGGATAGGCCAATTATGTCAACTGAGAGTGCCGACGACATTAATGTCGGTGTCTCCCTCAGTACTGCTCTTCTTCTTCCAAGCGATCTGGAGCGAAATGCTGGGTACAGCGAGTATGAAAACTACGCGCTAATGCTCCAGCACTCCGTTCAAGTAAGTGTTTCCTGTTTTGACTTTTCTTTCTGCTTCATACTTAGAAGATTTTCTAACACTTCTGTTTTCTTTCAGGCCATCCAGCACGCCCATTCATTTTCAATGCAATTTTTGAAAATCGACAAAGATTGGCCGACATGAAGAGGGAGGTTTCTGCCCTCAAAAAGGAGAACAAAGCTATTCTGACAAAGATGAAGAAGCTGGAAGATCAGGCCGAGGTTGTCACTAAGGCCCAACAGATGGCCGAAGAAAAAGCGGAGTCTGCTGAAGCCATCAAAAAAGTTGCCGAGGCCGAGAAGAAAGATGCCGAGGTAAAAAAGGCTCAAGCCGAAAAAGAGCTCGAGCAGGCCCTGGCCTCTAAAAACACCGAAATTACTGAAGCCGATGAAAAAGCTTACGCCCAAGGAATGGCCGATGTTGCTGAGGACTACAAACTGCAGGTTAGGCAGGCATGCAACAGGGGCTTTTCCCTTGGCTGGATGTCCTTGGCCAAAAAGCTCAATGTTCCTGAAGATTCTTCTCTGCACAAGGCTGAAGCTATTCCTCTGCCATTCCCTCCTCCTGCTCCATCTTCAAGTCAAGCTGAAGATGAGGCAGAATCTGAGGATGAGGATGAAGATAATAATAAAGATGAGGCCTTGGTGAGGAAATCCAAGGACGCTACTGAGGCCAAGTCCCCTCCTTCAACTGAGCAAGTCATGGACTTAACTTTGGATGAAGAGGGTGATGAGGTTGGGGAGGCGCCTAGGGAAGTTGTTAAAGGGATATTATCATCCGACCTCCTTTTAGCTGAAAGAAGTCTTGACAAAACGCTTGCAGAGATTGATGCCGAGCTTGAAGCAGAAAAGATTGCCGAGGAGGTTCCACCGGAATCATCCGAGGTCCCAGTGAATCCAGCTGTTAATGCTGAAGAATCCTGATTTGAATGTCTTTATTTCCTTGTCTTTTTTATACTTTGTTTTGTTTTCTGAACAGTGCAAACTTCCTTTTATGGCCGATGTGCCTTCCTTTGTATATAGCTGCAATTGTTTTTCTATGGATGCTTCAATCTTTTAATTTCCCTTTGATTTGTTTCTGCATGGTTGTATGCCTTTTATTTTTTTGCCACCTTTGTGCAATCTCCTCGGGGTTACATACCTCGGATACAACAACATCAAACTTTACTTTGGTAAGATACAGTCCTGAAAACTCTTGATAAACTCCAACAAGTGTTCAACATATACTATTCAATATTAACTGCAAGTTTCTTCTCAAGTTTCAACAAGTATGTAAACAGTGATCTCGGTCTAACATACTTGTAAATTGCTACAAATTTCAACAAGTGTTAACATATACTGTAAACTGTTCTCAAGTTATAACAAGTGTTAAATAATGATCTACTTGTAAATTGCTGCAAATTTTAACAAGTGTTTGAACAATATGCTTAGCTTTTACTTCAACATGTAAATTGCTGTAAATTTCGACGGATGATCACATGTCGGCTTAACATTATCTTGTAAATTGCTACAAATTTCAACAAGTGTTAAGCATCTTCTTTGGTTGGATCAACCTGTAGATTGCTATAAGCTGCAAACTATAACCTCAGCTTCACTTTGACTTGTAAATTGCTGTAAATTTCAACAAGTGAAGAGAAACAGTAATCTCGGCTTATCTTCAACTTGTAAATTGCTACAAATTTCAACAAGTGAATTAAGGAATCAGCTTGACTCCAACTTGTAAATTGCTACAAATTTTAACAAGTGAAGACAAGGAATCAGCTTGACTCCAACTTGTAAATTGCTACAAATTTCAACAAGTGAAGACAATGAATCAGCTTAATTCCAACTTGTAAATTGCTACAAATTTCAACAAGTGAATTAAGGAATTAGCTTGACTCCAACTTGTAAATTGCTACAAATTTCAACAAGTGAAGACAAGGAATCAGCTTAATTTCAACTTGTAAACTGCTACAAATTTCAACAAGTGAATTAAGGAATTATCTCGGCTTAACTTCGGTTAAGCATCATCTCGGTCTAATTTTAGTTTTAAACATTATCTTGGTTTAACCAACTTGTAAATTGCTACAAATTTCAACAAGTGGTAAACGCATTCTTCTTCTTCTTGTCCCCAATGTGAACCTGAGTTCTACATGGGTTCATTATTCATGTCTCCAAAAACATCAGTATGTAATTTTATCAGTCATATGTGTTGAAAGAACTCTTGAAAAAACTTTATTAAAAACATCGGCAAAAAATACTACACATCTAATGATAGAAGAATTTTAAATTACAAGTGTTCCAAGGTCTTGGCAGTGCTTTGCTCTCATTATCTTCAAGCCGATAGGCTCCATTGCCTAATATCGAAGTAATTCTGTAGGGTCCTTCCCAGTTTGGGCCAAGCTTGCCCTCTCTGGGATCCTTTTTGTTGCCGACGACTTTTCTCAAGACTAGGTCGCCGACTTGAAAATCTCTTGGATTGACCTTTTTGTTGTAAGCTCTAGCAAGCTGTTGCTGGTAAACTGCTAGCTGAATTGCAGCCTTTTCTCTTCGTTCTTCTAAAAGGTCCAGATCTCGGGCTAAGAGGATGTCGTTAGTGCCATTCTCTACTCCCTGGGTCCTGATCCATGGGATGCCGATCTCCAATAGGATGACAGCTTCTGTGCCATAAGCCATGGCAAAGGGGGATTCCACAGTTGATCTTCTCGACGTAGTCCGATATGCCCAAAGCACGTTGGGCAATTCGTCTACCCACTTTCCTTTTGCTGCCTGCAGCCTCTTCTTTATTCCATCCAGAATTACTTTGTTGGATGCTTCTGCTTGCCCATTACTTTGGGGAAAACTTGGTGTTGAAAAGTAATTTTTGATCTTGAATTTTGCACAAAAGTTCTTGATGAGTTTGCTGTCAAACTGTGTTCCGTTGTCGGCAACTATTGCTCTTGGAATCCCAAATCTGGTGATGATGTTTTTCCATATAAAGTTCTTGACGTCCACATCTCGGATTTTGGCAAGAGGTTCTGCCTCTATCCATTTGGTAAAGTAATCTGTTGCCACCAGCAAGTATTTTCTCTGCCCAGTTGCCTGGGGAAGTTGCCCAACAAGA